ACTTTGAAAGGAATTTATAAGAGATTTGAAAAGTCACAAAATAATATTTGGTTTGTTTCAATTTAGGAAGTTTGTAGTTCTTAAACTAAAAATATGGTGTGGGGGTGGCAGAGAGTTGCCCAGTTTATCTCGGCAGCCTAATTTCACATGAATTAAATACTATTACTAAATCTAGCATGTTTCTGTTTGGAAATTTTTTCCCATAAATGTTATATGAAATTACCACTGTCTTAAAGAGTTTAAGTACATCTTTGGTATGTTTGTATCATTATGATACATTAACCAAATTCCTCAGTTCATACTAAAGAAACAGGAATGCAGATCAGTTCGCTGTTGCACATAGATTGTTTTAAGGATTCTTTCTATTTGTTAATGAATAATTGAATTATTTTTAAAACATCCAATAAGGTAGTTACCAAAATTAGCTTTTTTCCCCTGCAACGATCATTGGGGTTTTGTAGAAATAGTGTTTATACATATTTACTTTTCTTTTTTTTTTAAAGATTCTATTGATTTATTTTTAGAGAGAGGGGAAGAGAGAGATACAGAGAGGGAGAGAAACATCAATGCATGATTGCCTCTCATGCGGCCCTTACTGGGGACCTGGCCCACAACCCAGGCATGTGCCCTGACTAAGAATCAAACTGGAAACCCCTTTGGTTCACTGTCCTCACTCAATCCACTGAGCCACACCAGCCAACTATATTTTTCTTAAATAAAACTATTTGGCTACACTATAAAATCAAGGCCAACCATTAATAAAGAAACCACAAGTAATGTGAATTATTAGAAAGCATAAAGTTGGATTTTTTACATTTCTAATTCTAATATGCCAAAGTATCTCCTGTAGCATTTTTAACAATTCTTTAAGAATGAAAGAAACTAAATGTGTTAGAAGCAGTGGTCATGGTTGCACAGCACTGTAGATGTAATTAATGGTCCCGAACTGTACACTTAAAATGATTAAAATGGCACGTTTAAGTTATATATACATATTTTAAAATAGAAAACATTTAAAAATTTAATATTTAAGAGTACTTTTAAGTATAAAGTAAAATATTTTGTAGTGCTAAAAGTAGGATAGATTGTGCAGTTTAAAAAGCAGTGCCACACCATGACCAGATGGCTCAGCTGGTTGAAGCATCCACCCGCATGGCAAAAGGTTGCCGGTTCGATGCCTGGTCGGGGCATGTACTGGAGGCAATGTTCCACTGTTTCTCTCTCGCATTGATGTTTTTTAGTTTTTCTCTCTCTCAATCTTTCTTTCAAATCCAGGACCATATCCTCAGGTGAGGATTTAAGAAAATAATAGTAGTGTTACTTGCATTATCATTTTTCTTCCCATTCCCCACCCCCTATTTTTCTTCTGCCAATTAAATTTACATTCAACTAGTATTACTGGGTATATAGAAAATAAAAAGGCTTATAAGATGTCACAATCTCCTGTGCAGTAACGTGGCAATTTAAAAAAATTAAGATTTCTTTATAAAATCATTTTTATGCTTTCAGTTATACTTTAAAAATCCATTTGTTGTTCTTCTGAATGATGGACTTTGAATCTACTATGCTTTAAAAGTTTTCTGGGAAATCTGTTACTTTTGGAAGTCATGTCGAACAGTGTAAGTCAGAAGGGCAGTGTTTACATATTTCTGAAGAATTTGATCAGGACATCCATCTTTTAGGGGATCATAAATTCTCACCCCTCTCCAAAAGGAAAACAAAGTGGTACTTCAATCACTTTGATTTCAAAATTCTTAAAGACTTAAAATACATAACTAGATACATAGATACGTACCATGGTTTGATTTTGGTGTTAAATAGTCTTCGTGTTTGTGTCTTTATGATGCATTAACCAAATTCCTCAGTTCAAACTGAAGAAACAGGAATGCAGAAGAGCAGCTCACTGTTTCACATAGCTTGTTTTAAGGGGCTCTTTCTATCTGTTAATGGATAATTGAATTATTTTTAAAACATCCAATAAGGTGGTTACCAAAATGATCTTTTTTATATTTTTCTATAAAGACTATTCAAAATGGTTAAAGAAATAAATTTTAAGTAAGACTGTAAACAAAATGTGAGCCATTGTTCCATACACTTTTAACTCATTAAAAATCTGAAACAAGAAAGTAGCTACACCGCTTACACAAAAAAAGTAGGGTGTATGAGTCTGCCCTTGATCAGGTGACCTCGACACAATGACAGTCTGGTTTGCCATTCTCCTCAGCTTCTCAGACGCCATTCAGGTGATGGGAGCGGAACCATGTCACGGTGGAGGACAAATGGGACTCACTGAAATAATTTATATAGCTTGTTCACCAAAACTTCTTTCTGATATATTTACTGAAGGGATTTTTTTTAAAGTATTTAAAGGGATTAGAATATAAAACTAGAAAAAGTTTTATTAGGTATCCTGGGACCTGTTACAAGAGAATAATACCTGGGAATGGAGAGGAAAAAAAGACATTATCCGAGTGCTTTGATTATTAATTAAATGATTATGATGTTTCAGATGATTAGAAGCAAGTCAAAAATTTAGACTGCATTTATCAGTTTTAAAACGTGCCATCTCCCAGAGTGATCACGATAGTCCAGTATTTTCAGTTTCTGGGCTTTTATTTTAGATTTAAATTTTGAGCATATTTATTTTGCTATAATTACATAAATTTCATAGCATGTTTTCTCAAACCATAAGTATAATCAATCTTAATACATCCAAGTGAATTAGAAATTTTTCCCATAGAAACATATTTTAGAATGAAAGTAAATAAGACTATTAGAGCCTATTTGAAAAAAAAAAACAAAAACAAAACCTACTTTACAGATCAATTGAAAAACCATAGGTATTCTATATATACTTTTAATTGAACAGTCTGAAATTATCAGTATTTCTATAAAAGCATTCACTACTCTAATCAAATTCTTTCTTCTTAAACTGTATTTTTCCATAAACTGATTTTTCTAAATAAATCTTTCTAAATAAATCATGTTTATTTTTAAAAAAAAGTCAAGTCCTAAAAGTACTAGTTGCTTTCTGAGTAAATTGGGCCAGATTTTTCAGTGTCATGTCTAACACTAATACCTTATGGAAACTTAGCTTTTATGCACTTCTTATCACAATATGTCCATTTGCCTTCTTTAGATTTTCCTATTATTTTTATCCAATTTCTATGGTTTTTAAAATAACTATTTTCCCCTTCTTCATATCAAAGTGCAACTGGAAAATAGCTCAAACTCACTTATTTTTCAGTTTTAGGTTTTGTCTTTTAAGATACCAAGTAAGAAACACTCAAATGGTTTCTTCTATAATGTTATTATCAGCTCTGAAAATGCTGCCTGATAGAAGTGGCTCCTTTTACAACTCCTATGTTCTAGCCAAATGCTATAATATTGGGTAACAGGTTTCTTTCCTTGTCATATAAAGATAAGTTGACTCATATTTCAGAATTTTTTTTAGTAACAAAGATATTCTATACATTATTCATACCTAATAGAAATCAGTTGCTGATATTAAGATTGCATAGTAACAACTCATACTAGCACCAAAAGAAATGTACTTTTGAAAATCCCTGGCTTGGACAACATAATTAACTGTGCTACTACTCTGTAATGAACACACCTTTTTGTCCCCCTTTCATTACCTGTTTACAGGAAGGGGAATTAAATAATTGAACAGCTTGACCCAATTACCAGATATTACTTTGATGGAATGGGTGAGCTTTAATATAAAAGGCTTTTGGTACCATTTATGCAGTTTGTGAGATTATCTCAATGGCAAACAAAAATGTTCTTCAATAATTTCTAATCGTGGTTCATTCACTAGAACACATCTGTCTATAGATAAGTCGATCATGTGTTTACTATACAGCATCTTCATGTGTGTGGTGGGATGAGTAACAGCAGCCCCCGCACCCCCATATCCATGTCCTGATCACAGGAATCTGTGAATGATAATTTATCTGGCAAAAGGGACTTTGAAGATGTGATTAGTTGAAAGATCACAGGGAGATCGCCCGGGATTATCTGGGTGGACCCCGAATGTAATCACAAGTGTCCTTATAAGAGGGAGGCAGAGGACAATTTGACTACAGTAGAAGAGAAAGGGATGTGGCCACAGAATCAGAGATTGAGGACACACAACGCAATATACTTAAATTGCATTGATGTTATAGACTTGTACACCTGAAACCTATGTAATTTTATTAACCAATATTACCCCAACAAATTAAATATTTTTTTAAAAAAAGAAGATAATTGAAGTGATGGAGCTAAAAGCCAGGGACCAGGAGCTGTCATCAGCCTCTAAAAGTGGAAGATGCTAGAATGGGGTTGGCCCCCTGGAGCCTCCAGAAGAAACAAGCCCAGCAGACACCTTGATTTTAGCCCTTTTAGGCTCTTTTTGGACTTCTGCTCTCCAGAACTATGAGGGTAAATTTGTGTTGCTTTAAGCTGATGAATTTGTGGTCATTTTTTACAGCATCTACAGGAAACTAATACAGGCATACCTCAAAGATACTGCAGGTTCCATTCCAGGCCACTCTAATAAAGGCAGTATCTCAATAAAGCAAGATGTTATTTTTTTGCTGGTGGAGGATCTTGCCTTCAGTTTGTAAAAAGTGCAACTCCGGTGAAGCCCAATAAAGCAAAGGGCAATAAAGCGAGGTATGCCCGTACAAACCGTAAAAAGGTTTAATTAAATGACCTCCAAGATCCTTCTATTATTTGAGAATACTGCGCTGCACTGTCAGCCTTGCATATTTTTATTTTTAAGCACTTTTAATAGGCATAACTTAAGAAAAATTATTTTTCACTAGGCATCTGGGATTTGACATTCTTTATTAGAATTAGTCTGCTGGGTATTAGCATGTCATCAACAAAAGGAAGCAAATACTAGGGGAGATACTTCTTTTAGTGACTCTTACCAAGTTGAAGGGAAATGTTATATTATTAATGGATTTCTATGGAGGAGTAGCCAATTCAGTTAGAAATTCAGAACACAAGAATCTTGCAGAAATCAGCTGCCAGATTTATTAATCTATCTAAAATAAAAACATAGCCAAACAAAAAGTAGAATGAAAACAGAACTTAAAAAAATTTATATACATTTCCCAAAAGTTTATAATGCAATGTTTTAAACCCTTCTGTATTGGAAATATCCTCAATGTTGGCCAATTATTTCATTCAGTGAGTCACTACCTTAAACAACAAAATATATAGTTTGTCCTTAAATATTATATAAGTGAAACCGATTCTTCTTTTGATTTCTTAAGGTAACTCATAGCCCAATTGTTCCCCACTGGCAAACTAGAGAATTATAAAAGAGAAAAAAAGAAAAGAGAAAATAAAAAGAAATAGAATCCTCAATACACTTTTCATTTAGATCATATTGTAAAGACCCACTTTCAATTTCTTCAAATATGTCAATTCTTTTTCCAGTATAACTTTAGCTGAATAGTTTAAAATTCATTCTCAGTAAATGGCCACAGGAGCAAAGTAAGGGGGATACAAGTTCAGATTTTTAAGGCATACTTCTTAGCCCACAATGGGCCCGATGATGTATAATGCATGTATGTGGAATAATTATTGAAATGACAGGTTACATACATATATATTGAAATTAGAATCTTTTGTAGGATTAAATGTAAATAATAGTGATTATGGTATATGGGTTTGCCAATAGCTGTTCAATTTAGGGATAAGTGGGAAAAAAGATAGCCAGGAGATGGATCTTTCAACGATCTGTCCTGCACTTGGTGAAGTACTTTCTGAGGCTGATTTCGGATTTGTGTAGGATGGGGTTTTTTTTTTTAACATTTTGATAGATACTCTTTAAAAAAATGTCATTCTTTTGGGATATTTGTGGACTGAACAAAATTCACAGTTCTTGCGTGAATCATTTAGCAAGCTATTGAGATATACTATAAAACCCTTTACTTGTGGTTTTTTTTCAAGGTGAATGGTACAACATATCCTACTTTAAGTATTTTCTCCAAATGCAAAACAAAAACAAAACGAAAACCTTTGAAACTTTAAATCTTTAAATTTAAATCTTCTTTCAAACAATCCAATCACATTTACACGAGTATCCAAAACAAGATGAGGGACAGATAGTTTCAGTGCCAGCACTATGTCATACAGCAACTTCCTCATATACTTTGACAGTTTGTAAATAATTTTCCATGTCACCGAAAGTTACAAAAGTTTCCACAGTTTCCCTTAGCAAGCTGAAGCTTACTCTTCATTTGTCAATGTGCATAAAAGCTGCTTAGAGCATAGCATGGCGTAAGCTAGTTTTTAAGCAATAAATGGTTTGAGTCATCTATTTTGTCCTGAAATGCTATGTGTAGTTAACTGCATTGCTTATAAATGGTCATAGTAAATTCAGCATGAAAGAGAATATTACAGAAAAGACAGCAGCAGAAGCATTAGCATTATCTAATATTTATATGTTATCAACATAACACAGCAGTAAAAGATTTAGATGCATATCAATGGGTACCATCTCTAAAAATTACTATAGTACCTATTTAGTGTACTGGATATTTTTCTTAAGGAGTGCTTGCTGTATCTAGAACAGCATAATATGTGATTTAGTACAGTTAATTCTTACGGATTAAATAATATTTTATGTACTGAAAGAAGTGAAAAGACAGATATTTTTTGCATCATGGTGATCCCAGATTTAACATGTAAATGAAGATCTCAAGGACCATGATGTATCATTGTTGAACTGAAATGGGCTTCAAAATATTGAAACAACAGTATGATTTGTGTCTAAATAGCAAGGTGGCACCAGATACATGTAATGCTACTGGCCTGTGACTCAGCTTGGAGCCAGAGTCCAAAAGTGTGCCCCTCATTTACAGTCATGGTGATTACTGAACTTCAGAGAGAATTACCCATATTATGGTCATCCTCTGTTGAGTCATATATAAAGCAAAAAAACAAAACCCAGCAAATACAATCTCTAAATACCTTTCTATAAGAGGTGCAGAAACAGTAATTTCTAACACTTAAACTGACATTTTTTTGTACACCTTGTAGAGACACAGAAATGATAGGGGAAGATGCCCAAGGCAAATAGTCTCCAAGTGGATATTTACACAACATGAATTAACTGTACCATAGATATCCGGAAAAAAAAATGAACATTTTCTTATGTTGTTATGAAATCAAATAAACATGATATAGCTTCATCATACTTAAAACCTGTAGGACCCCATCCCAAGCCAAAGTAAAAAGTAATCCCCCACTCCCCCCTCCCCCGCCCATTCACCCGTTACTTTCCTGTTACACGGAATAAGTGTTTAGATTCCTCCCACCCACCCACAAATAAAGTGCGCAGTCCATGGCAGACCATAGAATAATGCAACAGGAAAAGCCCCTTTTTGTGTATTATTATTTAAAAATAAAATACAAACAACAAAAATCAAACAAAGATTGAAGAGAATTCAGATTCTCTGCAGCTTCCGAAAAGAGGGAAAGCGCGGAGGCCCTGCCCGACTGTCCTCGTGTTAGTACACGTAGCCTTCGTTGTAGGGGTGGGGGTTGCAGCAGCCCCCCTCCGGCATGTAGGCCATGCTCTCGTCGAAGTGAGACAGAGGCACCGTGTCCTCCTCGTTGATGTGACGCTCCATGTCCGTCTTCAAAAGCGGGCGCTGATTATCCGGAAAGGCCATGGAGAAGAGGGCTTCTGGATCGCACACAAATTTGTAGACGTATCTCTCTCCCGCCACCTGATGAAAACATGGAAGAGAAAAGCCCGTCCTTAAGTATGTCGTAGTGGATATTAACCCATTTCCTGTGGGATCATTTCATAATATTTACAAATATGGAATCATTGTGTTGCATAACTGACACTAATACAATGTTCTATGTCAACTATACCTCAATACACACACCACATACACCCTCACTACCCCAGATGATGAAGGACAGGGAAGGAAAGGAACAAAAACATGGTTTAATACCTCTGAAATGATGGATAACAAAAGAAAAAGCCACCAAGTATTAGTAGATACACATGACATAAAAAAAAGTTTCTACTTTGTCACATAAATTGCAAAATGTTGCCCCTAATATTTATATTCATTCTAGATATAGTTAGAAAGCTGAGCAGTTAGCTTGTTTTAATATAAAGGTAAATTTACATTGTTATTTGTGTGTGTGTGGCAGGGGGAATCAACAATTTCATGCAGGCATCTCACACTGAAGGGTTATTTTTCTGTTTTAAAAAGTAGTATCTCAAAACACAACTGGACCTGAAAGGTGTAGAGTCTCCTCTTAATACTGTATTTGGGAAACTGTGGGAAACCTTAACTCCCAAACCTTCAAAGAAAAATGTCTTGTGTTCCTAATAAGACCAGACTAGTGATTCACTGATTCACAGGATGAACTGGGATTCCCCCCCCTACTGTGTATTCTTATCAAAGGAGGAAAAAAGATACATAGCCTTATTTAAATGAAAGATGGATCAAGAGGACTGCATTATCCTGGGTACATCACTTTTAAAAATGAAGGCAAGATGCATTAGACAGGAGTTAAGGATGTGTGTAAAGTGTCAAATTGAAGAAAGAGGTGTAAAAAAGTGAAAAGAATTTAAAGTGCACAATGCATAAGGAGGAAATGAGAAAAATAAATGTGAGAGCTGCTTGAAATAATGGAGTAGCATAATTTGTAGGGAATGACATGTCCCAAACTTAAATTTTGAAGAGTGATGCTTCTATAGGAAATTATAAACAATTGAATGAAACAAATATAATCCCCCACCCCTACCACCATTACTAAAGCACGCTGAGGTGCTCTCAAAACCAGGGTAGAGGATGGTGTAAAGATCAATATAATTCTTTATATTAACTTTGATAATATGTTTTTAGGTATATCTGTACTTCAGTAACTTTAGGAAGTTGAAAATTAATCCCCTCTGGGTCCCTAAGCATCAAACAGGCACTTCTAGTTGCTTTGTGCTATGGGGCAGCAGTGAGCTCGTGGTCCATGAACTATGTGTGCATATTTGGCAAGAAGCAACTACCAGAGAGAACTGCTCCTCTGGACTCCAGACAGATTTTTTTGTCTTGGATTTGTTTACCCTGGAAGAGGAAACAATGCAGAGAATCCTAAAATTCTGAATATTCTTAGGTTTGAAAGCAGTACTCGATTTGTATGAATTTGGATATGTTTCTTTAAAAGAAATTTTTTTATTAATTTTAGTGAGAGAGAGAGAGAGAGGGAGGGAGACATAGATTTGTTGTTCCACTTATTTATGCATTCATTGCTTGCTTCTTGTTTGTGCCCTGACAGGAGATTGAACCCACACCTGGGCAAATTAGGACTCTAACAACTGGAACTGTCTGGCTGGGCTGGATGTATTTCTTAAACTGCCCTCAGTTGTGTGTGTGTGTGTGTGTGTGTGTGTGTGTGTGTGTGTGTGTGAGAAAGAGAGAGAGAGAGAAATGGAGAAAATGGGTTGGAAGTCTTTGGTACACTGCATAGCAAATCAGAGAAGCCTGGCATAAATATATTCACTTTGGTCCTTTATAAAAAGGAAATTAAGTTCATAAAGGTAAAATAGTAAAATTACCATACAAATAAAAACAGGCAATATCAAAACAAAGCTAAGTAAGATACTAAATCCTAGTTTTCACCTGTTTCTTTGTTCAAAGCGTCCTGAGAAAAAAATGAAATAAATAGCTTGCATATCTCAGAGCATTTAGTAACCTGCTTTCTTTTGTTGGGGCTGTGGGGGAAAAGGTACTTGCTTTTGTCTTCTAGAGCTGTTTTGTCCAATCTGTTTTGATTGGTTATAAGCAGAAATTATTTGATAAGTCAGTGTGGGGAATTAAGTGTATAGCGTGTAATCAAGATGATAAAATCTGTTAAGGACTTTGCCTTGACTCACTGCTCCTTCTAGTTTTCCTTGGAATAAGCATTTTCAGGGCTCTTACTACATTTATTAGACTATGTTAAATGCTGCAGAGTTAGCAAGGGCTCATAACCAATGTAGGGGAATTACACATTCTGTTATTAGTAATATAGTTACACCCAAACTGTAATGCTGAGACAGAGAAAACATGAATTTTGCAGGAGAGATGAATCAGAATTAAACAGGAGGTATCTTGTGCACTGTGCTTTGAAAGACTAGATATTTATATTGTTAACTATCAAAATTTTAGAAGTAACACAGGGATACTGGAGGAAAATTAAAAATTACAAATGAAGCCAAAATAAATAATGACCCATCATTATATCATTCAAACATAACCACTGTTAAAACCTTTATGTCTACTTTTCTAGGCATTTCTAAATTTTGAAATAGAAGTACACACACACACTCTCCATGGGACATAATAAACATCACTCCACTGTTTATTCTTTCATAACTATGGAAACAATGAGTATCTTTACATGTTTATGTCCATTGTATTTTTATTTTCTAATCTTTCATTTATTATATATATCACATACACACATAATTTTTAAGTTTCAACAATTTCGATCACATAAACGTCTCCTACACACTGAAATATATAATTCTGCATCACAGTGTTTCAGAAAAAGGACAGCATGATTTCCCTCTGAATGACTACAGTAGAACTTACTGGACCATTAGAATAGTACATATGGTAACAGGTACAGATGAGAGGGCAAGACATTCTAAGAAGTAGGACAATGAGTGAAGCAATGAAGGAGTTGCATGAGAATGACCTCAAGCAGAATGGTCCAACACATGCAGGAAAAGTAAATATATGCCCCTAAGAACTGTAAAAAGCCTCGATTGTGCTAGTCACAAGTACACTTCACATTGTACATGTTTCATTAAACGACCTACCCTTTCTTACGATACATTAAACAGCAACACTTAAAAGGGTATGTCACATACAGCACCTTGCTGTCCTATATTAGTGAGTGAATGAAGAGTTACAAGTAGTTTCTCCTGGCAACTACAACCTAAAATGGAAAAAATTTGAGAAGCTACATTTTTACCTGTATTTCAACATCTATGCCATTATTTGATTATTTGATAGCATCTTGCCTTAGTAATTTATAAAAATAAGAGATAAACAAATAGGATATGAGATAACTGGATAAATAAATATGAACCCGGAATAAGAAGTGTAAGTTTGAACACCTCTGACAATATTTAAGAGCAGGCATGACAGCCTGTCAAATACTATGTCTAAAAGCCGAGGTGTGAATGGAGATCTCACATGTTTTGGCCCTTTGTGAGTGCCCCTTTTAATAAGGGGAATAAGACTCAAGACACAAAAGCCAAATAAATATGCCTAGGCTTACACTGGCTTCTGGTGTGAAATGCTTTCAGAGCTACCATTTGTTGGCAATTTTTATTATGCCAGGTACAATGTGAGTGTCTCAATTAACTTCCATTTAAAAGTTGTAGTAAATTTGAGGTAAGAATACACCATTTAGTAGGAGAAGCCAGCTATCTGCTCAAAAAGGCGACCCAATGAGAAGCTACCCGCAAACCTAGACATGACTACGTTTTCTTTCATTGTTGAGCAACACTGCCCGGGGTGCCGGCTGAGTACCTTCCGTGCAGCCCACCTGCGTCCGAACTGGGAAGAGGGTGATGAAAATGAAAGGAATGCAGTGTATCTGAAAGGGTTTGGCTGCAAATGGGAGTGGCGAATGAAAGGCAGGAATTAAAAAAAATGACCCCACAGTGGAGTTGCAGAAGACCGAAAGAACAGTAGGAAATGGTTATATATTTTGAAGGTGAGATTCAGGGCCATAGGAAGCAATTGTGAATCTAATTCAGCCTTATCTTTTAAGGGTTTTGGAAGTTTTAACTGCCAAGCTGGCAAACTCTGGAACACTGATTTCCTTTGGTCCAGGAAACTCAACGATGCTGTTGCCCTCTGTTCTAGTAAGTTTCATGTAGCAACTGGTCTAGTTTTTCTTGGCATCATGATGACATAAAAAATATGCCACAATTTGTAATGTATAACTATATTTATATCCTCCCAAAGGCTGTATAATAAAATTGCAATGAAAACAATGGGTAAATTGTAAACTTAGTCAAGACAATTAAATTGAATATACATGTGAGGATGAAAATGTAATAGCAGCATGTATCTAAGTGTTTTATCTTTATTTATTCATTTCCCTCTTCAAAAATTTTTCAGTATGTTCTAAATGTAATTCATTTGTTTTCTCCTCATTCTTTTTTAAAAAGCTGCTTTCAAATATTAAGGGAAGCTCATTTGAAATAAAATATAAATTTAACTTCATTCTACCAATAAAATAAGATCAAATACTTATTCTTAATAAGTGATTTAGAATATTAAGTTGGCTGGTAATAAAAGCAAGCAGAATTTCAGGCAAGAAAAATAAGTTTTTTGGAATGAGAACAAGAAATGTTCTGCATGCTTTAAGAATCGGAATAAGGAATAATAAGTAAGAATCCGGTTGGTATTAGAAACTAAAAGCAAGAGCATTTCAAAATTATGTAATTCTTCAGAATATAGTTGAAGATGGACAACTTCTGGGGATCTATACAGAAAATATTAGTACAGGAACAACCTTTTTTAGCAAACACAGTAAAATAGGAATTCCTAGTAAGTCTACTACTGTGCATATGATATTATTACATGTTTGTCTATGAGGCCCATAAATTTGTAAATAGAAAGGTACCAAACCAAGAACCCAGCATATGTTAAAGTGATTGAAAACCTTGCTTCAGATATTCAGTAATATGTGGCTTTTGAAGTATAACATGAAGATTTATGTGCAACATTTCAATGAATGCTAATGCTGTATTAGTTGCTCACCTTTTGCATGATGCCTTTCTCATAATAATAGCGGAGTGAACGGCTAAGTTTATCATAGTTCATAGCTGGCCTGTTTTTCTGAATGCCCCAACGCCGAGCCACCTGCCACCAAAACAGAATTACATTGTGGTATTAAATATTAGCTTATCAAAATAGTTCATAAAAAATAGCTAATTCATGAATTATTCCCCCCCCCCCCCAGAAGACATCCAAGTCAAAGAGGCAAAAGCCACCCTAATGTGAACTTCCTGTGTCCTGGTTTGCTTTTTAACCCAGGTGTGCAGTAATCATTCTGAAACATCGCAATAGAATTCTTTGTCACTATTGTGTTGGATACAAAATTAAATGGAAATATGGGGATGTGTTTACAACTGGAATGAATAGGCTGCAATTCACCAAAATGAGGCAAGTTTCCCATTCTGAGAAACACTGTAGATGTTGTTTCTTCTTAGTTTACAGATTAAAAACTATAGATTAAGAACAGCTTGGTGACCTCTTTGTAAGGTGTTTTTTGAGGTTATGATAAAACAAAGAAAAAAGATATCCAACTTGATACTAAAAAACAAAAAAACTGAACAAGTGGTATTGTGTGTACAGCAGAGGAAACAGTATATAAATTAATAATTTGGACTGCAAACAATTTTTACTGCCTCAAGCAGCATCAAAATAAAATTGTAGCCAATAAATACTAAACTGGAGAATTAAACATTTATTTAGCAAACAGTGATTGGCCGCTAAAAATAAGAAGGAAGTGGAAAAGGTCACCATGTATATGAATCTCTAAAGCAGAATGTCCACTTTGTTGTTTGCTGAAAAATCATCAGAGCCCTTTATAATGTGGCTTTGGAGGAGCAACTTATCTGGCAAAGAGAGAGACTTCAATGGAGTTTTAAGAAAAGCCAGTTCTTCCATGTTTGTGCGTTGTCCACCCCACCACCAGCCTCGGCTAACTAAAGCATTGTACGGAACAGTGTGGCTAAAGTCACGTTCTCATTAATTTCCCCTTTTTATTAGTCTGAGCAGAAACTGCAGCTGCCACTCAGACCTAGCCACCCCCAAGAGAGCATTATGTAAAAAGGTGAGTGTTTTCTTTCGTGTCCATGAAACTCCTAGTTGTCTCTAAGTCACATATACTAAGATACAATACTTTATAGAGAGATCATTCTGTCCCTGCACTTTATTAGCGATAACCGTTCTCCAGGATTTGTTTTTTTCTTTCAAAAATACTGATCTGTGCCATTTTCTCTCTTACTAATTTGCATTCCCTGAAAGGAGATTCAGTGGCATCTAGTCACGTGCATCAGTGTACTTTCTGTGAGGGCACCGAAATGTGGTTTAGCAGGGACAGGACCGTACACATTCAAGCAGACAGTCACAGTGGCAGGTACCTCCTAATTTTCCGAAGATAAACTTTGTTTCCATGTAAATGATCTGAGCAGTAGTGAAATGGGAAGGCAGCAATAAGAAATGCAAGCAATGCTTTCTGAATAGACTATCTTTTAAGAACCTAACAATGGCCATCATTATACCTTTAATAGGTGCGGCAACTCCACAGCATGCAAACCTGGAGGGCAGGTGAAAATAAAATACTAATATCTCCTAAAATTAAGCAACAATTTATGGATACTTGTTTGTATAAAAATGATTGCTTCCTAGAAACTCACCAGAATGCACATAGAAAATAAAATATTTGCAACAAACTTTAAGATAACATTGTGGAAGTCTCTGGGAGAGAAAGATGATTTTTTAAATACTATAATCAGAGTATAACTGTTAGGGTACCAGTTAACTGTCAGCACTGCATGTATTTGTAAACATTCTAAAACAATAAAGTTTATTTTTAGAGCTCTTTCAGTGTCACATTTGTATAAAGTTGAGGAAAATGGGACATACCAACATGCCTACGGGAGATAGAGAAGTTATACAATGTAGATAAGCTCTAGAAATCTGCTGCACAATGGAGTGCCAATAGTTAACAATACTGTTCTGTACATACAAAAGTCTGGTAAGAGCCCTGACTGGTGTGGCTCAGTTAGTTGGGCATCGTCCTGCAAAGTGAAAGGTCGGTCACCAGTTCCATTCCCGGTCAGGGTACCTGCCTGGGTTGCAAGTTAGGCCCCCGATTGGAGAAGCAATCAACCAATGGTCTCTCTCACACTGATGTCTCTGTCCCTCTTTTTCTCCCTTTCTTCCCCTCTCTCTAAAAATAAATAAAATCTGTTTAAAATAGCTTAAAATAATTCTTATTAAAAAAAATCTAAGCCCTGGCTGGCATAGCTCAGTGGATTGAGCTCGGGCTGCAAACCAAAGTGTCGCAGGTTCGATTCCCAGTCAGGGTACATGCCTGGGTTGCAGGCCATGACCCCCAGCAACCGCACATTGATGTCTCTCTCTCTCTCTCTCTCTCTCTCTATCTATCTATCTCTATCTTCCTCCCTTCCCTCTCTAAAAATAAATAAATAAAATATTTTTTTTTAAATCTGTTAAGAGGGTAGATCCCATGTTGAAGTGCTCTTGCCACAATAAATCATTTCTGGGATAGGCTGGACCACCCACCAATGAAGAAAGGCCATTCAGCCCTGACATAGGACCCACCCAACACCACTAAAAGCCATGGCAACATTTCAACTTGGAGTGGGTGCGAAGGTAGCAATAATTGCAGTGACTTCTTTATAAAACTCTTTTCAAATGAAAGTGTTGTCTGTTAGTGAGGAGAGTGAAAAGATGATGGCACTATAGCATTCACTCTTATTGTCAAATGAATTAAATAGGAAAATGTAATAGTTCCAGTATTACTCAATTTATTTCTAAAAATCATGCTTGCCACTCAGTAATGGAAACCACAATTGGGGCGTTACTCTCAGACTTCTTGGTGCCTCTTCCACCTCAATAAATTTGAATATCATCAAAAACGTCTCCTCCAAGTCCTACATATGCTCTACTATGTTTGGATCCATGATTAATTCAAAAATAATGTTTTATTATCTCAACCATCTCAGAAAGGGAGATGGTGAGGATTATGTGCTTGCTTGAGTTTCCCAAACACACTCAGCAGATAGTCAGCACAGGTCTGCAGACTCAGTATCATTTTAAACTGCAAGAAGAAACATAAAGAAATGGAACCTGTGAGTAATCCCAACGCCACTGTTCCTGAGTGTGCTGACAGAGACTCCCCAGAATCTGCTGTGTACTAGAGGGAGAGGGTGCACACAGGCCACCCGGACTGCAGAATTTCACAGACACTCTCTGCAGATGATAAACATAAACAGCAAAACCATGGCCCGATGGAAGCAATTGCAACAGCGAACAAATGCAGCCATCAGAATGGGACGTCACCTTTTTAACAAAGGCCCAGGACATACCGCGTGCTTGCTGCACAGCTGCCATCCAGGCGGTTCATACTGGGAAATGATCTACTGCCTCTGAATTCCCCAGCCCTTTTACACCCTGTGAGTCTGCTACAGACAAGGTGTTTAAGTGTCGGTCTGTTGTACGGAACAGATGTCCTTTTCTTTCTTGCGCAGAAAAAGAAAAATCACAAAAATTCTGAACTTGATGGGACTTAATAGTCTTCTAGTCAAGTTTTTTTACTTAATTTAAACCCAATCAAAAAAGTCAACAGCTGCTATATAAATAAGTTGATCACTTGCATGAGAAGTTGTACTCCTGTGACCCTGCCTGGCGTGGCTCAGTGGATTGAGTGCCTGCCTGTGAAACGAAAGGTTCCATTCCCTGTCAGGACACATGCCTGGGTTGTGGGCCCAGTCCACAGATCGATGTTTCCCTCCTTCTCTTTCTCTCTCCCTTCCCCCTCTCTAAAAATAAATAAATAAAAATTTTAAAAGACTAAAACATTTTTATTCTTCTGAATGGATTAATAATTACTGACATAATTCAACATTTCCCCCCAAATTAACAAATATATGGGGAAAAAATTTAAAAGTCTGTTTCTACTCAACTTTATTTTAAACAGGCATGGAGGGAAATATTTAACCATTTGATGTAAGTTTTTATTGAATATACTCAGTTGCAGCAAGAACCATCTCTCACAATGATTATTAACATCGTTTATGAGGTAAAGAGCACATATTCCCAATCATGTTAAAGGGCTTTCAAATTACTTCATGTTAAGTGTTCCCAGTCTCAGTTTGTTAATGCTTCACATTTAACAGTTTTTACACTTACATCATTTAATTACATCTACATAAAAACTAATTTCCTTTGACACATTAAGCTTTAGCCACAGTACGAAATTCCAACACCCAAACATTTAGCCCATACTAGATAAGCAATACTTCCAAATGCCGATACTGAGCCCTCCGTACGTGCGTGTTTGGTCTGTGGGCATGGACAATGTTGCTAAGCTACCCCTCTAGTGCCACTAGTTATGACTTGGAGAATTAACTGTGCTAACCAGCTCCTCTGTCTCATTATGCTCTTAATACGTATTTGAATCAGATAGTCTTCTAAATCTTAATAAGCAATGTGAACTTATCTTCTAGTTCTCACATTCAAACATACTATCTCATTGTAACTGAAATACGTGTTATTGTAAGGCCCATTAGCTTAGATGGTAGATGTTTAGTCTATATGAAACTAATAACTTTAGACTCAAAACCAGCTGGGTATCTTACTGATTTTTTTTTTATTTTTCTGAGCTGGTTAGAATCTAGTCAATATGATCAGTCTTAAATAGGTATGTTAGCCACCAGTGTTTCACTGTTTTTCTTGGCTAATGTAAACCAAAGTCAATTTGAATGGTAGCAGAGAAAGCACCTCTAATAAGAAAACAACATTTCATCTAACAGTCACCATTCTGTATTGGGTCCAAAATACGAGCATACAGAAGTCTTAAGCCTAAAATTAGTCCTGGAAAAAAAAGAAGGAACTGGGTTCTTAAGGAAAGTACTCCATTTGTACGGTGGTGGGTGGGCAGAGATAGTTGAACAGTTAGTTGAATGTGTGTTCCATTCACCTGTATTACCTCTATCCAGAGTCCTCTCACTTTGTTAATTTCTTATGTATTATGGTGAATCTTAAGCTTCATCCCTACCTTCCGATGAAGTGTGCACCACCCAGCTGACTCGAAACCAATGTCACCAACAAGCAAAGGGAAACAATGTTCCTGCCAAACTTGTGTCTCCTAAGAGAAAGTTAAGGAGTGGAAATTTCCCACTGTGGCCCTTGCATGGCTTTATTCCCCACAGCTGTTCTTCCCTGGTCCCTATTACAGACACTTTGGTCTCCAAATATTACCTTCCAACCCCCTTAATAAAATCAAGATTGCCCAAATAATGACTGCCAATTTGCAAGAACAATTCCTCTGTACCCAAAACTAGTTGAAACGAACCTCACAGATGTCCCCACTACCCCTTAAAGACCATCACACACCCCAAACTTAGTTGTTCCTTCAGAGACTTCCCAAGCCTTGCGTTCCTGAATAAAGGCTTAAACTAATGATGCTCTGGTGGATTTCCAGCGTCAGTTCTGAAGGACAGTATTAACTGGGAACAAGCATGCAACATACTCGTTTTATTTTAAATGTACACATGCTTCCCCCCATCTACCCACCTTCAAATTTGGAGGGTTTCCTTAAAGTTTTAAAATTTAAAAAGCCTCATATTTGGCATATTAATCACATATGTTTCTTTATATTATGACATAACTGATTTTCCTATCCCAAATCTACTAAACCCACCTCTTCAGGCTCAATCAGTTTAAATTCCATGCCTCGCCCAGTCCAGGCAATGAAATGAGAATTTGAGGGGTCGTCCAGAAGAGCTACCAAAAACTGCCACAGCTGAAGTGATCCCCGCCGCTGGTACGTGGGTCCTTCCCGATACATTCCTGGCTCTTGTTTGATGTCTCCTAAATTTTAAAAAAAATTAACTTTCTATTATTAATAATATAATATTTACATAAATTTACACCAAACCAATGTTAAATGGTTAAACCACAAGTGCTTTATGGGTTTCTGTGAAAAATGTTGCCACTAGATATGGATTTAAAACACTTAGGGGGTTGAGTAAAAACCAAAAATCTCTTCAAATTTACTCACAATTATATATACTAGATAAGGGGCAAAACAAATGAATATAGGTGCAGAATAAACCCATGAATGGTATTTACTTAAACAAAATTTATATTGCTATTTTTTCACTGATTTCTTCAAAAACCATAGCACCTAATCACACTTCTTTGCTTTTACTGTTAATATCATTACTTGCTATTCTGAGCAACTATGAAGTAGAGGAATCCCTTTTAAGCTCTAGGCATTTTATTTGTAGAACTTAAATTCTGCAAACTATAATTTGTGAATATCTTATTGACCTGAACATGAAAAAATTGCATATTTTAAGGCAAACATGTTAAAGCAAATTTAACAGCATCTTAAACTCTGAGTTAAGTAATCCATACTTTATATAAATTAGGGAAATCTCAGGGGCAATTCAGGGCATGTGGTCACCACCACATCATCTTTCCTCCACACCTTCGTGCTGGCACTACAACCATTTTTTCAACTGGCAGCAAACAAAAATTCTCTTGCATTTTTTTTATTTCTTGTGTTTCACTCACTTAAATATAACTTGCTACGCTTTTACTAAAAGTCCAATTAAAAAATGTAAACACCAGAGCTTCTGGTAAATTTATATATTTTTTTAATTTTTTTAATTGTTGTTCGAGTACAGTTGTCTCCAAGCAAGATAGGTTTGTTACATTTATTTGACATTCATATATAGTGTAACAATCAATGAAAGAGTACAGGAATAAAGATGCTACTGTTGAAACGCTTCTGGTATAAATCTGGTCAGATATCTCAGTTTTACCAAAAAAACAAAATAAAAACAAATAAACAAACAAATAAGCAAACAAAAACTCAGTTCAAGACTACTGACTATTTACTTGTATCTCCTGCTTACTTTCTTTAAAATGTGTGGAATTCGTTACATTGCAGGCCCCATCAGTATATCATGGTTAATGCATGAATTTCTCTTCTCCACTAAACAAACAATTCAGAAACAATATATTCAAGCTCATCTACGCACACTAAGTGTGAATTATAAAACAGACCAATAAAACAGACCAAATCACAAGCTTTTTAAAAATCTTTCCTTTGATCAGTAAACAGAGATACACCCTTAAAATAATTACAGAAAGAACAACACTTTAAAAACCTAAACCAAAGTAAAATTATTGCCAGTAGCTGCTAAAAAATCATGTTGTTTTGGTCTAAGCTAGATAATACAGAAATGTTTCTTCATCTTGATTTCAATGACAGTTTTATTTAACAGTTTTTCCTTCTAAGGTTTACAAATTCTTCATGGGGGCAGGGGACAATTGCGAAAAAGTTGAGCAATTATGCAGATAGAGTGAAACCCTGTCAAATTTTATAATATCTAGATTGCTTCTGCCTATAAATGTGACTGATTGTCCTGGCTGTGTACAATGAAAATATAACCTTTGGTTGTTCTTTGTTCTTGTTCTCCATTCCCTGTAAAATATATACTCTTACTATCTTCCAAAAAATGTTTTTTTAGTATAAAATTAAGGAATGTTGAAAAGTCAAAGGGAATAATCAAGACAGTTAGTGGCCCTTAACATTATATGACACTGGCCTGTAAGATAGCATAATTCTGTGTATAGTTTTGAGCTATTTTTCTTCCTTATGTGCCCATACTGATTACCAAGATTTCTTCAAATGTTAAGCTCACTAGTACTGAATGAAACTATAAAGGTCATTCCAGGAAGTAAAGGCTTTATGTTTTGTCTCAAGAGAAAAGGCTGTATTTTAAGAATTGTGATGCTCTACTAATGGTTAAAAATAACACAGATCATGCCTCTGAGACTCAAAGCTGAAAACTAACATCTATTGTAAAATAAAGCTACAAAAAGTCCCCTATTAGAGTGTTAACCCCATGACCTTGAATGAATTTAGCAACTTAAAGGAAGGCAAAGGAAACTGATCTTCCCAAGGCTTAGCATCCCTTTTGAGCAGCATTAAGACTAGCAAAAACCTGGAGAACAGAGGAGTCTACGAGCCACTAATTGGAGATTGAGAAGCAATGTGAGCATGACTTCGCTGTTTAAATAATGACAATTAAAAACTTCTGAGAGCCACAAAGTCATTACGACCATGATCCCCAAAGTTTGTGCCATCGGCTAATCAGAAGGCCCCCGGCTCGTTTCCTGTTAAACAATCAAAGCAGGAAATATGGAGGCCATTCTGAAGAACCACTAAATCAATTAACTGTTCAGCGTTCACCCAAGTTTCTCCTAGATGCTGACTTCTGCCACCCTTGTCAAGAAAAGAAAATTGTAACACCCCTTTCTAATGTCGGAGACTTCTCACTGCAACAGGGAATGATAATAAAAAGGTAATGGTTTCCCAACTCCCTTTCAAACAATTACAAAGCAATGCCGCATTGGTAAAGAACATCTTCCCAGAGAAAAAACAAAAAAGGACTAACAGTCACTAACCAAACGGCAGCTATGTTGGTCCCGTGTTCCATAATGCATCTTTTCATGAACAGTAAGAGGAAAGAGGCCGCATTAGTCATCCACGCATCCGCAGTAGCATGCTTTCTGTTCTGCTTTGTTAATTATGGGATCAGCTTTCAATAAATCTCGAACAAGCTGCACGAGCTCAGCGGGGCAATGGAAAGCCCCCTCTTACGCTACACAAAGCTCAACAAGAAAGACACTCTAGTGATATCTCTAAAAATGAGATCTCTTAGGGGACAGAAGAAAAAGCTTTTTAATGGAGGAAGGAAAGAGAATTTATAAAAGGTGAAATTTAGAAAGAGTTGAGTGCATCATAAATGACGTACATATAAATCTTTAAATAGGAACGTTGACTGTTTTCTAGAGGGGTCAGAGTGATCTCTCTGCTCCCACCACAAAAATCACAACTTCAAACACAGTGCAAAACCTACCATCGAATTTCTCTGGGACAACACAGGTGTCATCATAAAACTGCCTGGGGCCCTTTTCAAACATACAGCCTGTGGGAGAAGATGAGATACCTTTAATCACAATTGAAATGAAACTGACCAACAGTTTAAAATGGAATCATTAACACAAAAATTGAGGTAGAAAATAACTGCCATTTTCAGCTCTGTGGCCTTGGACATGTTATTTAACTCCTGTGCCTCAGTTTCCTCATTTATAAAATGGGAATAACAATAAACTGTCTACCTTATAGGTATGTTGTCAGGATTAAATAACTTAATATATAAAAGTTTAGAATAGTGCCTAACATACCATGATACATAAGAGTTGGCTATTAATATTATTACTAGCCCAAGCACAGAGCTCATGTGAACCTGACAACTTAGGATTTAGAACATATCACTTCCTTTCCTGTTTTCTTCCAAGTTTTTTGTGATTCAATGAGACAAAAGGGAATCAAAGTGAATTGCTGATATTTACCTTGCATTATTGCCGTGGTAAACTGGAATGGATTTGGTTTAACCCCTTACTTCCTTGGAGAAATATCTAAGCTAGCCTCCTCATGTTTTCATTGTCAAGAGCCAAGGCAGTTAAAAATTTTTTTTGAACTTTCCTTTTTTGCCATAAGTCCACAGAAAAAAGTGCAAAATAAACTGACAGCTTTACACAATCATTTTCTCTTCCAAATATCCTTGACTGTGGACCTTTATTTAATTGTTGTTTTTAATCACCAGGGAGAAATTTCACAGTCATGATTTTATTTCTCAGATGTACTGGTCTCTATTGAGGGTACATAATTTTAACAGTAGCAACAATAACTGCATTGCACTTGTACGAACTTTTTGAGCTCAAGTACTTTGGATTTACTAGCTCATTCTACTATCTTTTAAACATAGGGATTTACTTCTATTAATATCATTTATACGAAACAACCAATATTAGACCAAACCTAAAAGGATGCATCTAAGTCATCTCACTGAAAATACATGCATCGCTTACATCATGAACCATGTACAAATTTCCAGAAATACTTTAATGTGGATGGTATCCAGATTAAAATCATTTATATTCTTTTCTTTGCCCAAGTTAAAGTCCCTTAGGTCAAAGTTTTTCCACCATGTTTACCATAAACACATCTATGATAATAAGCCCCTCTCGAGTCCTCTTATGTGAATTTCTATTCTTTTTTTAAAGGCAAACCATCCATTTTATTATTTTTTTTAATTTTATTTTAATCATTGTTCAAATACAGTTTTCTCCCTTTCACTCCCAATCCACCATGAATTTCTATTCTTAATTACTGTCCAAAAATGGAAGACCGAGGATATTTTAAAGCAAATAGAGGAGTGAGTAAAAGTAGGATTACAGTTGTAAGTACACAAAATGTAGAGTTTATTCCTGTATTATTTATTAATTATTGTACATATTATTATATGTATCAATTATTGTGTTGTTTCCATATGAACTACAAACCTACTTTTGCCCACGCACACCTATACATTTAAATCTACTGACTTAGGTCTGTAAAGCAAAACTGAAAATTCCTTGATTATAGATTTCAATAGAGAGCAGTAAATGTGGGATAATCTATAAAGCACATGTTCTATTTAACAAGGATGTGGTTATTGGCAAAAAAAAAAAAAAGGAACACAGAAATTCACTTTTCAGCTATTTATATGCAGATGACTCATGCTAACCAAATACATGATATTCTGACCTGAAAAATCTTCATTTTACTTTAAAAAAGATAAAACTTTAAAAAATAATGGTTATGGGAACATCAGTATTTTTCTCATAAAATATAACGATTAATTGACTGCCTCCTTGGGGTGTCTGGTGATTTTGACAAGTATTTACCAAAAAATTCAATAATGGAAAACTTAACTTCTGTTCTGCCGGGATGAGCCAGGAAGCCTTCTTGCCGCATGTAAATGGAGTGGCAGCTAGGCACTTCTGAAAGAGGAGAAACGACATTGGTCACAGCGAGGTCTGCAGCTGAAAACGCGCTGTTATCCGCGGACAGAGTGCAGATGAGAAAGTGACAGAAAGGACTCAGAGTCTCCATGAGGGGAACTCGTCAGCCCGGTGACCACTGCAGGCAGGGCCCACACGCACAAGAAATGGAAGGATGTGGAGCCCATTCTCTTAAGCAGGTTTGGGGATTCAAAGTTGCATCACGTGAATCTTGCTGCGGGCTGGCTCCACCTGCGACCCCATGTGAATGCAATGCTGTCCTTGAAAACCCGCCGTGAGTCCAAATATGTTTCTGACCACTTATGGGCTAAATGTGTATTATCCTGTGGCAAGAGTCAACAAAAACTAATTCCTAGCGACTTCATGACCACTGGATAGAAATGACCATGAAACAACGAAAATTGCTAAATCTTTTAAAATTACTCCAGTCCTTTACGGTTACTGCTATTTTTTTTCTCCCCAGATAAAAGTATGACTGGCTTTTCCTTTTGTTAAACTCACAGGTCATGTTCAAAACTGAGGGGGCTATAAAGCTGAAACCCAGAAGTTTCATAGTAAACATCATTATTACTCTAAGAGTAAGGCGTTACCTATGTGACAAAGTTAACTCATCACTGAGAAAATAAACTTGGTTAATGGTTAAACTTGACTCATACTGACAGGTGTATATTTAATATGTTTAGCAGCTTTGATATGGAGAAAAGGAAAGAAATATGGATTATGAGACAGATTAAAATTCAAGTCCTTCATTTACTGCTAGTTAAGCTGCATATTTTAGGCACACTGTTTTGTGTTGATCTTTCTATAAAATAAAGGCTTGGGTCAGATGTTATCTAAAGTCTATTAGAATGACAAGTTCTTTGATTCTGAATATAAAAGTTCACTTACATAATCAGAGGTAGATTCAGGTGAAACCGATGAAGTTTTAAACTCTGGGACTCTGTACTTTCAAGAATCTGTCTCTTCTGAGCCGTGAAACCTACTAATTTCTGTATATGCAGTTTCATTTTCTTTTCCTTTAAGAAGGTTCCCCAAATTTTGTAAGTTTTAGGTCCCACAAACCTGGACCCAACGCTGCATATAACATATATAGCTTCTGTAGGAAGGTATAAATACATGTGATCAAATTAATTCTATCTTCAGGAGGTATTACTAAAGTTTAGACAACATATGAAAACTATATTTATAAAATGCACACGGCAAGTGTGCTACTTAATATAAGACTATGTCCTCTTTTCTCCCACTGTAGTGAGCACATGGCCTCACAAGCACTAAAGAGCATTTAGATGAATGGGAATCTAAAGACCCTCCTCTCCTTTCCACGCCATAGATAATCAGCACCATGCGGCCCAAGTGTTGTCCTTCACTGGTTTGGAATGTTCCATTTTTAAAGCCTATCTCATTTAGTTTTAAATTTGTGTGTGGATGAGTGTCAACCAAATTACAAAGCATTTTTTCTTCTCCAAAGTAAAAAAGTTTAGCAAATGTGGTTTTAGTAAAAAAAAATATTGGACAATCCACCATAACAATAACATTTAAAAGTATGTAGAAATCAATAGCTTACCAGTCGAAAACAGTAAAAGAAAAAAAAACACCTCCTTATCAAACATTGTATTACACCATGCCTCCTTTATATAAAGTATTATGTAGTATGCAATTCTGACCCTACAAAAGGCAGAGTTAACCTTGTTTCCTGATATCAGACTTATAATAGGGTGACAATGTAGTTGATCTTCTCGGTTACTAAATAGCAATACATTTTATCCCAACTTTTTAACCAATGTGCTTCGATGTAATTTTTAATGTTATTTTGATTTATTGCCAGTCACAAAGTCCCTCAAAGCAGCTGAGTCTGGAAGGGACAGTGTTAGAGACACTGCCATCAGCTCAGCAGCTGCTTAGAGGAAAGCATTTTGTTGTACCAATGTTGACACCCAGCCACAAAATACTTTTACTGACGCTACCCAGCTGGAGTGTGGCTGCAAAAACAGCTGGCTGGCTCTGCAGGCAACTGGAGGAAAACATATAGGCTAAACTCTATTATATATAAGTGTGGGACTAAATGTAGTCTTTCCTCCCCACAGGAGGAGAAAAGAGGGAAAGAGGAAAAAAACTCAAGCATTTCAGAAAAAAAAAACACTATTCAAAGTTGAAGGAACATTTTATAAATGTGCTCTAATGTAATACAAAATAAGCATAATCCTGTAAAACTAGACATTTAATATTAGATAAAATTTGATCCATAATTTCATTGATAATCATATAATTGGCTGCTTTCTTGATTCTGGTGTACTTACTCTGTAATATTTATTCACCTATAATATTTAAAGTATACTTTTTAAAAATAATAAGTTAATGACTTATAAACAAGGCTAAAGCCAAAACCTGTAATACATTTCCAAAGGCCCAATTTGTGATGTAATTTCAAAAAACCCCCAAACAAACAAAAAAGAACACTGAATGGCAGTTTAGGAAAAAAATTCACAAGAATATAACTGTGTTTTTGCCAGTTCTTAATAGTATTTATTATACCCTAGAGTGAATAAAATTAACACATAGCTCTTAAAATTGAGATGCTTGGCTGGCATCATTGAAATCCAGTCTATCTTTAAAATCAGTGTCTTTAATATGGTCCAGGGAAGCCTGAAAAATTATGGCTAAGAGGACTTTATTCCCCTAAAGTAACTAAAGTCATGTTATCCTAAAGTGATATCAGTTAATTTATGACTGTCAGAGTAGGTCAGACTCTAATCAAATTGTAGAAACATTTCCAAAGTGATTATTCAATCAAATGACTAACATGGTTAATTAGGAGCCATAAACATTGCTCTGAAGTTCATCAAAGTAATGACTTGCCCAGAAAAATTACTGCTAATTAAATTGCCTGCTGCTTTCATTTCTACCTTATCTAATAAAAAATCCAGCCAATGAAGTTTGGCATTACATTTTAACTTTTGCTAAATGCTCTTCTAAGATCCCAACTAGCTGAGCAGCGACTTCAAAGGCAAATGTTTTGTGGCAGGGAAGGGAGGCACCGTGTATGGATTCGCTTGTATTTTCCTATGGAGCAAAGCTTACAAAATTCAGCAACGGCCATGAGCTGTAGTTTAACCTATTCACAAATGTTAAGATGCCTGCATTTTTACATTGTCTGAAGATTATACTCTTAGGATCATTAGTATAATACAGTGATTACTAAATGTGTACTTTGTCATCTAATGGACTTGTTTTTTTTTTTAAGATTTTATTTTATTTATTTATTTTTAGAGAGGGAGAGGAGGGAGAAAGAGAGAGAGAGAGAAACATCAATGTGCAGTTGCTGGGGGTCAATGGCCTGCAACCCAGGCATGTACCCTGACTGGGAATCAAACCTGGGAGACTTTGGTTCCCAGCCCACGCTCAATCCACTGAGCTACGCCAGCCAGGGCTGGACCTGGTTTTGAATCTCAGTTCTGACATTTCAGGGTAATATAATACTCTGTTAGTTACTTAGCATCTCTAACTCTCAACCTCCACATCTGTAAAATGGGAATAACAGTGATACCCTTCAAAGGGTTGTTGGGAGGTCCATATGGGGTAAGTTTTGGGCAAAATTTCACCCAAACCTGCAAATGATGATTTTCAATACATGGTACCTAATACTAATAAAACATCTATTTTTAAGTGAACCTCATAAGTGTTTAAACTAAGTGAACCACAGTCCTTGAACCTGGAAATGGTTACACATCCAAATTATTTGTATACCTTGATTTGCTGTGCTTAATCCACATATCTACAGAGATGGCTGATTTGTTACTCATTAGTGTACTTATTCTATAATAGTCTTCACCAATCTAACTACTAACATGATATTTAAAATATATTGATTTTAAATTCATTATAGATTTATTATTTATAAGATTTAAGTGAGAATCTACATTACATATTAAAAATATTTGGAGGTACAAATTTTGAGCTTCATTTTACAGCATTACCTATTTTAAAAATATTTTTGTTGCATTTTTTCCATTACTATTTTCCTCCTATACCCTCTGCCACCGCCACCCACCCCACTCACCCTGGCAAACACCGCACTATTGACCATGTCCATGAGTTCCTTCTCCTTTTTCTTTTTTTTATTTCAGAGAGAGACAAGTACTATATAATTTCACTCATATGTGGAATCTAATGAACAAACTGAACAAGCAAAATAGAGACAGATTCATAGATTGGTCAAGTACAGCATTACCTCTTGATACTGGGTACTACTGTAAATAACTTCAGTTTAAAGTTTTAAACTCAATCTGTAAATTGCACTATGCAAATTTAATTTAAGGCAGAGGACTTTTTAAAATTATTTGAAACTTAGAGATCAAAAAGTTCTACAATATGATATCAGTACTGGGCCAAATCAGCTTGCAGAAACTAAATGGTCGATAATTTGTCACAGATGAGTTTATGGCGATGAAAGCCGATCTCATACGCTGCAAACATGCAAAGCAGACAAACACTGCTGTCATTTGAATGCACTAGTTAGTGTAGGGGAAGTTAAGAAGGATAGTAAACTAACACTCCAAACAGCCTGATTTGATTAGTCTTCATCTGTACTAACATCGTTAACATTCTCTTTAGGCTATGCAGGTATGAAACTAAAAAGTCTGTTTCCTCGTCTCTTAACTTGCATTTTAAAGCTGTGTTGGGAAACATGATACTGATTTGGGAAGCTCTACCAAGCGCTTGACCACAAAGTGCAGTTGCGACTGTGCACGTATAATACTGTTGGGCACTGCCCTGATTTGCTTGTTTGTGGCCCAGAAGTACAGAGTGAAGGTTTCCCTTCAGGGCACAGTTTGCCTAAAGTTTCTAGGAGCAAATCAGGCCAGATCAGAGAGGAAATATTTGTCACAGCTATTTGAGATATCCCTATAATGTGCTGAAATTGTTTATTATCAAAGAATATACAAACCAGGATATATTTCAGATTCTAAACTCTGAACTCA